ACATCTGTGTATCAATGGGTCCTGCAGGTAAGCTCTATATTTGGAGGGCTTAATGTCTACAACTTGGAGGCTCCAATTTGTTCGAGGGTTCCACGCCAAAGTGACCCAGAAACACGCAGCCAGGCTGATCTCTCAAACTGTCTCAAACCAGTTATTTCCTGAATTCGCCACACGCAGTGTAGTTTTCACCGCACAGCGCCATCAGCTGTCTCCCCTGTAAGGGGTTTGGTTGTTCAACTTTGGCAGGCGCCGCTCATGCGAGGCAATGAAACAACTTCGAGATGCGGGCTGAGAAGTGGCTCTAGGCGAGTGTTGGCAGGCTGCCTCACATGCTCCATCGACCGAACTCTCAGGGCCCCACAACCAACGCCGGGTCCTTAGAACCCGATAGAGGCTTCTGAGAACAAGTCTGCTGGGGGGGCCACAATGATTACTAAAATTCCACTTTCTGTCTTTACAGGCCCCTTTGGATTGTCTCCATTACCCTTGCCCACTTCATAGGCGGAGAACCAGCAAACCAGTCACCTGTTGCAAGAAGCCTCCCTTTTTGTTGCTTGATTCAACAGAGGCATCGTTCACTTTAGCATGCCAGCAGCTCGCTGTGAAGTCACAAGCTGTGACGGTGCCGCAGATGTAAACTCACCGGACACTGCAACATCATCACCCAACGCGCCAAGGACCCGGTCAGACTGACCAAAACTTGTCAAGCGCCCAACCCACCCGTCACATTGCATAAGGCTGGGTACGCCAGGGTCACTCCTTACCCGATCAAACATCTGGGGTAGTTCGAACATAGTTCTGGAGCCTCTGCTCAATTTTTGTGCATAGGCGCTGCTGCCAGGGTACTTGTACAGCAGATGCGCGCCTGTGCTGCTTCCCAAAGCCATTAAGTTATTAAATGCCTGCTCTGAAGATCAGACCTAGTGCTGGTGGTACCTGCTCCAGACCGGACAGCTTGCCCGAGCGTTCATGGGCTGGCTTGAGCTGCAGGGCGGGATTGTCGCAATCTGGCATTTGCCTCAACGAGAGAGTGCCTCCTAAACTCAAACTGTCTGCGTCGCTTTCCGGCGCACGTACTCGGCTTCGCAGCCCCTTGCTTGCCGAAAGATGTGATTTGACTATTCGGCCGGAGGTGGCCGATTGCAACTCCCAACAAACAGCCGGCGTCGGCCATTTCCACAGCGATTGCAGTCGGACAAAGGCCAGCCACCTAGCTTCTGTTTGGAGGGTACAACTTGGAGGTTCCTGACAAAATAGACATTCTCGAGGGCTCAACACGCCAAAGTGACCCAGAAACACGCAGCCAGGCTGATCTCTCAAACCGTCTCAAACTCCCGCCACATGCACTGTAGTTTTCACAGCACAGCGCCATCAGTTGCCTCGCATGTTGAGGGTACCGAAAAGAGTTATGCGAGGCAATGACAACTTCAAGATGCGGGCTGAGATTTGGCTCTAGGTAAGTGTTGGCATCCTGCCTTACATGTTCCATGGGCTGAACCGCTATCCTTCCCCCGTGTTTCCCCGAAGAAATCGAGGGAGGGTGGGGTTACGGGAGTTGGAATGAACATGGGTGGCAGGAGGGAAAACCCAAGGCCGCACAACCCACGCTGGGCGCTTGGAACCCTTTCAGGTGTTCTTGAGCTTTTGAGAACCAGTTTGGTGGGTACGCCGCCGCAATGATTGACTCCTGCCCCTGAAACGCCATTTTTGGGTTTTTACCATTTTCCCTGTCAACTTCATAGACGGACATCCGGCAAACGAACCACTTTTTGCAGGGAGCCTCTCATTTTGCTGCTTGACTCAACAAAGGCACCGTTCACTTTAGCATGCCAGCAGCTCGCTGTGAAGTCACAAGCTGTGACGATGCCGCAGATTTAAATCCGCCGGACACTGCAATATCGTCACACAACGCGCCAAGGACCCGGTCAGACTGACCAACACTTGTCAAGTGCCCAATCCAACCGTCACAACGCATGAGGCTGAATACGCAAGGGTCACTCCTTACGCGATCAAACATGTGGGGTAGTTCGAAACATAGTTCTGGAGCCTCTGCTCAATTTTTGTGCATAGGCGCTGCGATGCGTGCCTGTGCTGCTTCAAGAAGCCATTAAATAATTAAACGCCTGCTCTGAAGATCAGACTTAGTGCTGGTGGTACCTGCTCCAGACCGGACAGCTTGCCCGCACGTTCATGGGCTGGCTTGAGCTGCAGGGCGGGATTGTCGCAATCTGGCATTTGCCCCTGGAACGTGAGAAAGCTTCCTAAGCTCGCAGTGTCTGGGTGTTTTTCAACACGCGTGCAGCAAGAGGCGGTGTGACTCAATATATCAGGATTGATTTAAGGCAAGCCACGTAGCCTGTGATATCGGGGGGGCCTGTCTACAGGCAAAAGTGACCCAAAGACATAGAGCCAGGCTGATCTCTCAAACCGTCTCAAACCCCTTCCTTTCTAAGTTTGCGCAAAACAGCTCGGTGTAGCAGCCAGAAGCTCGCTGTGAAGTCACAGGCTGTGACGGTGCCGCAGATTTAAACTCGCCAGACACCGCAACATCATCACCCAATGCGCCAACGACCCGGTCAGACTGACCAAAACTTGTCAATCGCCCACCGAAACCACTACAAAACATGAAGCTGATTATATATCAGGAAACTCCTTACCGTCAAACATGTGGGGCAGGTCGAACATCTGCTCATGCAACTGCCGTAGGCGCTGCCGCCGGGGTATTCTTACAGCAGATCTGCACCTGTACTACTTCCCGATGCCACCAAAAGCCTGCTCTGAAGATCAGACTCGGTCCTGGTTGTATCTGCCCCAGACCGGCCAGCGTGCCCACATTTTCAAAGGCTAGCTTCAACCAAAGCGCAGCATGGTCGCAATCTACCACTTGCCCCTGGAACGTGAGAAAGCTTCCTAAGCGTGCAGTGTCTGGGTGTGTTTCAACACACGTTCGCAGCATTGTCAAGAACCCGGTCAGGCTGACCAACACTTGTCAAGCGCCCAATCCAACTGCGACAAAGCGTGAGGCTGAGTATATATTAGGGGCACTCCTTACCTGGTCAAACATGTGGGGTAGTTCGAACCGATGCCAGGGTGCTTTTATAGCAGATCTGCACCACTTCCCCGTGCCACCAAAAGCCTGCTCTGAAGATCAGACTCCGTGCTGGTTGAATCTGCCCCAAGCCAGCCGGCTTGGCCACGTGTTCAAGGGCTGGCTCGCAATCTGCCATGCGCGTCTGGAACGTGAGAAAGCTTCCTAAACTTGCAGTTTCTGGGCTTTGTTCAACACGTTCGCAGCATTGGCAGCGACCATGCAATGGCTGATTCACAAGTCGCAAAGAAGCCAGCCACTCAGCTTGGCAAGCTAATACAGGAAAAGCTGGCACAAGCTAAAGTGCTGAAATGTCACAATCTGTCATTTGGCTTTGCAACGTGGGAAAGCCCGCCCAAAGTCGCAGCTTCTGGCTGTTTTACTACTACACAATTGCTTGACCTCTCCGCAACTTGCCAGCAGCCGCCCCACTGTGGCAAGTTATCCAACATCACTGGGCCAAGGGAGGGGATTCAACTCACCTGCGAAGCCCTTCCGCACATTGCAAAGTTCAAGCTGCTATCAATGGCCCGGCGTCGGCCAAGGCTGCGCAAAGTCTTTGGAGTGGGGCGAGCTTCTGAGACATTTGCACTCGAAAACAGGTCTCTCAGCAGATCTGTCCGGGGACTCCGCCAATGACCTCATTGGTTTTGCCCCGCCGTTCAACATTCATGGGCCAAGAGAAGGAGTGCTTGGCACGTTCGAAAGATGACCTCGAAACCTCAAGGACAAAGAAAGTTGAGTTGCTTTGAAGATCACAGATGTCCTCTGCAACTGCGATCCTCTCCGTCCGCTTGAGTTAGCACACGAGCAACCGCAAAGCATGCCACGGACATGCCACGGACGCCGCGAAGGCTTCCAACTTCAGCGAAAGCGAACTGAAAGTGGTGTCTTGTTGGCCTTCCGCTGAGGTTCAGAGGCACACTTCTTCCCCCAACCTCGCCGCTGCATAGGCCGACATGTCAGAACACTGCACCAATTCGGAGCCAATCCGTTCTCCCCCACAGTCCTCCAGTGTCAGCCCTCAGTTTGCATCCCCAAGCGACGTTGCATGATTGCCGCCTGAAACGGCGACATGATCAGAAAGGCTTTGCCTCCAGGGGCGTGACGTAAACACCCCACCATGAGCGGCGCGTAGTAAAGGGGTTGCATCTCAGGATTTGTTCTAGGTCTGCTGGAAAACCAAGTGCAGTTTGGGTTGAAATAAACACTGCTGAATTTGCTTTATGTCCTCTGCACCAAACTTCAGAATGCTAGCAACATCGGTTGAACATCATGCAGTGGTGTCTTTGTTGTTGCTTCTTTTCTCCGGCCATGACGTCCTAGCTCCGATGCCTTCCGTGCGGGGTTGTCCCTGCCTTCATTTCCTTCTCCTTGCTCAGGCCAAACGCTCATGCGGAGCTTGGCAGTTCACCCCGAAGATCCAAGTTCTAGCTGACGACAATCACAAAATGCAAGTCCCTGTGTTGAATCCTTGCTTTAGGCCCTACACCGAAGCTGGCCCCACATTGAAAGTAATGGCTCTGTCCTGCACCAAGAAGGATTCAAGATTCAGCGAGTGACTTGAAACACGCTTGGCCTGGTTGATCTCTCCTTTCTCACGCACTTTACATCAGTAGCTGTGCTGTAGATTCAACTCGCCAGACACTGCTCCATCGCGCAACCCAACCACCAAATGTGAGGTGTGGCGCGTTTTCCTTACCCGACAATGCGCAGGTCTCGTTCCAGAGACTCTGCGCAAATCATTGCCGCAGGGTAAACCGTTGAACTGGGTGTAAATCCCCCAGCTAATAGTTTCACTAACTTTTTGCTGGTCAAAAGGCAATATGAGGGGAAATCCCAACAAGTCAAAAGTCTAAAGATCCCACCAGGCAGCAGAGGAAGGGGCCCTCAGCCAGCTCGGCCAAGAGTCAGTGACATGTTCTCGCACCGTAGGGGCTTGGGGTACGGCGCAGCGGCCACCCATCGCGGCTCCGCATAGAAGCCCCTGCCGGCGCCCAGGCATCGCCGCTGGCCTGGTCGAGCTCGGCGAAAACGGGGAAAGGCGGGCACCCATTCGACCATAAGCCTTCACTGGCCAAGGATGGGATGCAAAACTCCGGTGCGGTTGGTTGTTGGTTCTCTTGGGACATGGCATTCTGGTGGTTGGGTATTGAGACATCCTGGTGAGCCGTCTAAAAATCCCGTTTACATGCCGTGTTGTCAGTCAAACCATGCAAAACACTCAGTCAATAACATCATATTTACTTACCAGCCAGACCATGTATCCAAGAAACCAGCAGGCACAGAGATGTGCGTTGTTGAAAAGCAGCAAAGCGCAAGCAGTGGTCATGATTCACGAGTGCCTGTACGTCTCTTGGGATGCCATTCGCACAGTTGTTCGATGTCGAGTTGTTGTTGTTGTTGTTGTTGTTGTTGTTGTTGTTGTTGTTGTTGTTGTTGTTGTTGTTGTTGTTGTTGTTGTTGTTGGTGTTGTTGCTGTTGCTGTTGCTGTTGCTGTTGCTGTTGCTGTTGCTGTTGCTGTTGCTGTTGCTGTTGCTGTTGCTGTTGCTGTTGCTGTTGCTGTTGTTGTTGTTGTTGTTGTTGTTGTTGTTGTTGTTGTTGTTGTTGTTGTTGTTGTTGTTGTTGTTGTTGTTGTTGTTGTTGTTGTTGTTGTTGTTGTTGTTGTTCTAGTTGTTGTTGTTGTTGTTGTTGTTGTTGTTGTTGTTGTTGTTGTTGTTGTTGTTGTTGTTGTTGTTGTTGTTGTTGTTGCTCGTTGTTGTTGTTGTTGTTGTTGTTGTTGTTGTTGTTGTTGTTGTTGTTGTTGTTGTTGTTGTTGTTGTTGTTGTTGTTGTTGTTGTTGTTGTTGTTGTTGTTGTTGTTGTTGTTGTTGTTGTTGTTGTTGTTGTTGTTTGTTGTTGTTGTTGTTGTTGTTGTTGTTGTTGTTGTTGTTGTTGTTGTTGTTGTTGTTGTTGTTGTTGTTGTTGTTGTTGTTGTTGTTGTTGTTGTTGTTGTTGTTGTTGTTGTTGTTGTTGTTGTTGTTGTTGTTGTTGTTGTTGTTGTTGTTGTTGTTGTTGTTGTTGTTGTTGTTGTTGTTGTTGTTGTTGTTGTTGTTGTTGTTGTTGTTGTTGTTGTTGTTGTTGTTGTTGTTGTTGTTGTTGTTGTTGTTGTTGTTGTTGTTGTTGTTGTTGTTGTTGTTGTTGTTGTTGTTGTTGTTGTTGTTGTTGTTGTTGTTGTTGTTGTTGTTGTTGTTGTTGTTGTTGTTGTTGTTGTTGTTGTTGTTGTTGTTGTTGTTGTTGTTGTTGTTGTTGTTGTTGTTGTTGTTGTTGTTGTTGTTGTTGTTGTTGTTGTTGTTGTTGTTGTTGTTGTTGTTGTTGTTGTTGTTGTTGTTGTTGTTGTTGTTGTTGTTGTTGTTGTTGTTGTTGTTGTTGTTGTTGTTGTTGTTTGTTGTTGTTGTTGTTGTTGTTGTTGTTGTTGTTGTTGTTGTTGTTGTTGTTGTTGTTGTTGTTGTTGTTGTTGTTGTTGTTGTTGTTGTTGGTTGTTGTGTTGTTGTTGTTGTTGTTGTTGTTGTTGTTGTTGTTGTTGTTGTTGTTGTTGTTGTTGTTGTTGTTGTTGTTGTTGTTGTTGTTGTTGTTGTTGTTGTTGTTGTTGTTGTTGCTCAACGGGGGGGCTGCCCGGGATTTCAGCAGCGCAACATACTGTAAAACGCAGCAGGTCGGACATGTGACTGCCAAGTCGTCCCGTTTTTACCAGGACATCTGGCTGTCGGCAGAGTCGAAACTATACCTGCGCTTGTTGTCTTGTCATCAGTGCATTGCAGCCTTGTGACACACGATGCCTTGGCACATACCGCGGCAGATGGGTGCGCGACGTGCTGTAAAACGCAGCATATCTTACACATATCACTGGGCATGTGAATTTCCTCGCGAATAATGACTGCGCTTTTGTTTGGCATCTTCATGTCAGCATGATGTTATTAGTCGCACGTTGGGCATCGTTTTTACAAACATCGCG